TAATCGAGATCTCCCCACATCAATTTCTTTTTAATATAAGAAAAAAAATATCGGTATAAACTATAACATCCCTAGTAGTTACATTATAAAAAAAATATTAGTATTTCTTTTTCCAAGCTGAACAATTTTTTGTCGGTTTATTCTCATTAGGAGAGAAAATTAGTATTTTAATTGTAGAAAGGGTAACGAGTGTATTTTAGTTACATTGATGTACACACTTTAATGACATCAGATAACACTTGTTAGCAGATTGATCTTAATTTTTTTAATGTCATATAAAATTAAAAAGAAAATGCATTGAGAATGGATTATTTACTATACAACTGACAATTCATTATATAATATAATAATAAATATAATATTTAAATAATGTTATTATTCAGTTGTTTGGATTGTGTGGTTGATTACCATGAGGCTATTAGTATGGTTTGCGTTTGAACGTGTCGTGTAATTTCATAAGGGGAAGCTTCATAAAAGATAGAAGGATAAAGGGAAGGAAGTGACTCCTCATCCAATTTGAAGATCTTTGTTAGTAGGTAAGTAATTACCTTTGACTTTTCTATATTGAATTTTAAATAATGATTGATTAGCTGGCTATGGATGCCTTGTATTCAGTGAGGATTGGGGGCAATAAATGTAACATGTAACATGGTTAGTCGAAGGATTGAGTTGTTTGATTATTTTGTTCAATTTGTTTGCATTGATTTAGGATACATATTACCAATCATCATTTAAAATTGATGAATATTTTGTATTATAATTGATGAATATCAATTTATGATGAATATTGTTAGTTTTGTATCTTCATATATTATCAAGATGAGATTAGTTATTTAGTTATTCTAACCTTATTGGCTAAGAGGTTTACATGAGTCCTACATGGAATAGCCTTCAAGTTATTATATTGGTCATTACCAAACACTTGTCAAAATCCTTTCTAATTTTGTACTTTAATTAGTGTAACATTAAAGTTCATATTTTGTAGAACATGGATCAATTTTATGCAAATCGCTATTGGATGTATGATCGAAGCCATAGTAATAGAGGTGGTTTAAAACAAAGTTTTGTTGATGGCGTTGAAGAGTTTGTCATGAAAGCTTCTCAACAAGTTTGTTATCAAAATGAAGGCCAAACGAGATGTCCATGCAATAAATGTCAATGTACAAAGATCTTGCCAATGGAAATTGTTAAACTTCACCTTTATAAAAATGGTTTCATGTCCGATTATTATGTTTGGGTTGATCACGGTGAGGAAATGCCTCATGCTAACAAAAATTGGACACATGCTTCAAGTAGTGGGTTACATTTTTCAGAAGATGAGGCATTGATGGCAATGCGAGGACATGGTGTATGACGCACTTAGGCAACATGAAACATTTCAACCACCAGAGTCAAATATCATGGAAGAGCCTCCAAATGAAGAAGCTCAAAGATTTTATGATTTGTTGTTGGAAGCGAATAAACCTTTGTTTGAAGGTGCTTTAGACTCCAAACTGTCCATATGTATAAGATTGTTAGCTTGCAAATCTAATTGGCATGTTCCTGATCACGCTTTAAATTTCATTATAAAAATGCTTTTGGATGTCACACCCAACAAAAATAGTTTACCAAAAAACTATTACGATGCGAAGAGGTTAGTCTCAAAGTTGGGATTAGAGGCTAAAAGGATCGATTGTTGTGTTAATGGTTGTATGCTTTTTTATGACAATGATTACGGGAAAAATGATGGATCTTTGCTGCAATGCAAATTTTGTCACAAGCCAAGGTATCATGCCCCAAAAGTTGAAACTCGTAAAAATAAACCAATTCCGATTAAGAGCATGTTCTATTTACCTATAATTCCGAGGTTAAAGAGGTTGTATGCATCCATGAAAACGGCTGGACAAATGACATGGCACTATGATAATAAAAGACCAGAAGGTGTGTTGTGTCATCCATCCGATGGTAAAGCTTGGAAGCATTTTGATCAAGTTTATCCAGATTTTGTCTGCTGAACCACGCAATATAAGACTAGGTCTATGTTCGATGGATTTAATCCATATATTGAAGCATCTGCCACGCCCTATTCTTGTTGGCCAGTAATTATGACCCCATATAATCTTCCTCCTGAAATATGTATGTCCAAACCTTATATGTTTTTGACATGCCTCATTCCTGGTCCACGTAATCCAAAGTCATGTATTGATGTGTATTTACAACCTTTGATTGATGATCTGATGCAATTGTGGAGAGGAGTTGAAACATATGATATTTCAAGGAAACAAAATTTTGTAATGAGGGCTAGTTTGATGTGGATTATTAATGATTTTCCTGCATATGGTATGTTGTCGGGTTGGAGGACTCAAGGTAAACTAGCCTGCCCGCATTGCATGGGGGATACAAAGGCCTTTACATTGCGGAATGGGAGGAAAAATAGTTGGTTTGATTCACACCGTAGGTTCTTGCCCAAAAATCATGTATTTAGAAGGAATAAAAAAGCTTTTAAAAAGGAAAAAATTGAAACTAATGACCCACCATGTACATTGACATCCGAGCAAGTTTGGAGTATAATTATGGATGTACCCAAAGTCATAGATTACCCTCATATGAACAAGTTACCAGGCTATGGGGAATGGCATAATTGGACAAAAAGAAGTATCTTTTGGGATTTGTCGTATTGGAAGAATAATTTATTGAGGCACAATCTTGATGTTATGCACATAGAGAAAAATTTCTTTGATAATATATTCAACACTGTCATGAATGTCAAAGGTAAGACAAAAGATAATGATAAGGCAAGGAAGGACCTAGCTTTGTATTGTTGTAGACCAGATTTAGAGTTGAAGTTGCAGGCTAATGGGAAGATGGTAAAGCCAAAAGCAAATTATACTTTAACTGCAGAGGAAGCAAAGTTAGTTTGCCATTGGATCAAGGAACTTAGAATGCCTGATGGTTATTCATCCAACTTAGCAAGATGTGCCGATGTAAACAAGGGAAGGATGCATGGGATGAAGAGCCACGATTGTCATGTTTTTATGGAGTGTTTACTCCCTATTGCATTTAGTTCATTACCAGTGCATGCTTGGAACCCTCTTACTGAAGTGAGCCATTTTTTTAAAGATTTGTGTTCTACAACATTGAGGCATCATGACTTGGCTAAAATGGAAGAAAATATTCCAATAATTCTTTGTAAGTTGGAGAGAATATTTCCCCCTGCATTCTTTGATTCAATGGAACACTTACCTATTCATCTTGTGTATGAAGCCAAACTTGGTGGACCAGTTCAATATAGATGGATGTATCCATTTGAAAGGTAAGAAGACTATCATTGATTATGCACAAAATTTGATTTACTAAATATTGAGCTAATATCATCCTCATTTCATTCATTTTATAGATTCATGGGTGATTCTAAACGATCAGTAAAAAATAAAGCTTGTGTTGAAGGATCAATTTGTGCCTCATACTTGCATCGAGAGACAACTCACTTTTGTTCCCATTATTTCAAGAACTTCATTCTATCACCACAGAATAAGAGAAATGAAATACAAGCCGAAATTGAAAGGGATCCATCAATGTTATCTATCTTTAACTTGGTTGGTCGTCACTCGGGAAAGACATCAATTCATTGGTTAACTCAAAAAGAGTGGAACTCGGCTCATGTTCATGTCTTGATCAAGCTGCACCGAAATTAAGTCATACCTTGAGTGAGTATTTCAAACACTATATTTCATTATTATATCATTTTCTTTTTTAATTAAATTGTTCTCCATCCTTCTCCTATATTTTCATAGTTCCTTCTTGCAATCTGGTCAACCCAATGACTCAAACATGTCCAATCACATACATAGACATTTTCCTCAATGGTTTAAGCATCAAGTATGTATGGTTACATTAATAACTTAGTTTATTAAAATATGCTTAACAATATATGACTATACCTTCTTTACATTTGTAGGTTCATAGTGAGCCTTTAAGTGTAAGAAACATGCACTTAAGGGAGTTGTCGATTGGTCCTTTCACATGTGTCAATAAATGGCACACATGCTTTGTCAATGGATACAAATTCCACACTCATGCTTGGACTCGGGGGAAAAAACAATCAATAGTGGTGTACATGTAAAAGGTCTTACAGAAGGAGGTGAAGATGATTTTTATGGCATCATTCAACACATATATGAGCTGCAATATAATACTTCAACCTCCCCGAAGAAAGTGGTGGTATTTTATTGTGAATGATTTGATCCATCACGTAGAGGTACATTAGTGGATTCTAAATATGGAACTGTAGACATTCGCATGGATAGAAGGTATTTACCATTTGATCCTTTTATCTTGGCACATAATGTTAGACAAGTATATTATATCCCATATCCGAGATCAAGAAAGGACAAACAAGGGTGGTATGTTGCTATAAAAACGAAGCCTAGAGGTCGCATAGAATCTCAAGACATGGAAGATGATGTTCCTTACCAAATGGATGAAATGTCCCATGTAAATGAAGCTATTGAAGTTGAAGGTGTTTTTGGATTGCAACATTCACAAGTTGATGTTGAAGTAGTCCAGGAAGAGGAAGAAGAAGAGGAAGAAGAAGAAGAAGAAGAAGAGGAAGAGGAAGAGGAAGAAGATGAAGATGAAGATGAATAGGATTTGTGTAGTTGAGAAATTGTTCTTTATGAGTTAATTTTTATATTCTACATGATGTAGTTGAGAAAATGTTTATTATGTAGTTGAAAAAATGTTTTCTTTGAGTTAATTTTTCTATTTCATATTATGTATGACGTTACTCCATTGCATAATTGACTATATAAATTTCCTATGTATAGATATGTCATCAGGAGGATGTGACTCACCCCAATCTCCCATGTCTCATTCCAATAAGGGGAAAAAAGTAACGAAACGAAAAAAACCACGTTATATACTTAAGGTAAATGTCCCTCCCCCACCCGTAGCTCCTGCACCTATACCTTCTTCATCTGCAGGTGCTGAGAATATACATGTCCATACAAACAATATTGCACCTACGACCACTTCGCCCCATCCCCAGTTGATGCACCCAACCCTAGTCCATCACCTGTCATTGCATCGACACCTTCCCCAGGAGCTACATTGCCTTCGATATCATCGGTACCATCACCACTACCTTTGGTCTCACCTACATTACCCTCAAGGTCTCCAGACACTATCACCATTATCGGTGCCTTCTAGAGTCCGTCATACACCAGCTGGGGAAGACCAAGAAGTGCATATTCAGCAAGGTGATGCACAATCGGACATTGAGGAGGATCATCCACTTGGCACTAATCTTCCTATCATATCACCTTATGGTCTAGGGTAAGAATGAAGTTAAAATTATATCATTCCCATTATTTGCAAGTATTAGGAAATTGTGATTATTATTTAATTTAATTATTTGGAGAAGGTTCCATCCATGTCGGGTTGCATCACAAGCTATAACAATGACTATTAAGCAACAATATTCTAAGTCATGGGCGACATGGGGTTCAATGACCGATGTTGAAAAAGAGACATTCTTTCAACGATTTAAAGTAAGTTTTCTTATATTTAGGCTGATGAATTATTTTTATTACTTACATTCATTGACACAATTATTATTATTTGTTTTTTTGTGTAAATCATTTGCAAAGAGAAAGGTCACCTGGAGACACGAAGATGAGGATAGGATTCGAAAGAATTTTCACTCAAAGGCCTCACATAGGCTATCCGAAATGTTCAAAGATGCTAGAAGGACAGGTCAAAAGCCCTATTGGATGTTTGATGATGTGTGGAAAACTCTGTTGAACAAGTGGAACTCAATTGATTATCGTGCAAAGTGTGCACAAGCTCGGAAGAATCGATCTTCTGAGACGGGTGGTAGTTTACACACAGGTGGTTCTATTAGTATGCATGAACACGCCATTCGTATGGTAAATATGAAATTATAACAAAAGTTTCTTTCTTTCATTTCTTCATGATATGTTATTAATTATTTTTTTTCCAGGAAAAGGAGTTGGGTCGTCCTGCACATATTGATGAGGTGTTCAAACAGGACTCATATACGAAAGGTTAATGGTGAATTTGTTGATGAAAGGTCTAGAAAAGCTCATGTGAGTTGTGAACTTATTTAATATTACTCTATTACTCTCTTATATGTTATGATGGATATGTGTTGTATATCGTACATAATTTTTATTTGTATGTGAATAGGAAGAATTTCGGAGAAGATACTCGAGGCTAGATCCGAGGCGGCATCCTGTGTCTGCTGAAACCGAGTCATCTCCATTAGATCCTATAGAGGAGGAGAGAATAAGGACTGAAAGTTGGATTCTTGCTGCATCTAGCAACAAAAAGGGTCGGATCTATGGTGTTGGAGAACTTGCCCATAAGTTTAGGCCTGGAGATACCCTCTCATATTCAGCATCTACTGATTCTCGTGAGATTACACAATTAAAGAAACAAGTGCTTAGTTATAGGGAGGATAATGAAAGATTGAACCACCAATTACAAACACTTGTCAGTGTTGTCCTTCCTTTACTTCCACCTGATGCCCGACAAGCATTTCAACAACAACATTCCCAACAAGGATCACAACAACAATCACAACAGGAGCAGCAAGAGCAGCAAGAGCAGCAAGAGCAATCACAAAATCAACCAGCTTTCGTAGAGCAGCCTCAAGATGAACAAGGACATTACTATAATTATTAGGACACTCAAACAATATTGTCATAATATTTATTATAGTACTTCTTTGGATTTGTATGTTCTTAGATATTTCAAGGACTACTTGATGCATGCTAATATTAGGATTTGTGTTTGATATCTGAATATGCATTTGGTGCATATAAATATTATGGAATATTGTTAAATTTGATATCTAAATATTTTATGTGTAATATGCATGTAACAGGTAAAATTTAGTTAAATTGGTGGTGATAAAATTGTATAAATTTACCTAGTGATTTTCCTACGGATTTACTTACGGATTTTGAATAAGGTAATACCTACGGATTGCAATCCGTAGGTAATTACGTACGGATTCTGTTCGTGGGTAATTACCTACGAATTCTGTTCGTGGGTAATTACATATGGATTGCAATCCGTAGGTAATTACCTACGAACAGAATTCGTAGGTAATTACCCACGGACGACATTACCTACGGATAGTAATTCCGTAGGTAATTACCTACGACCATATTACCTACGGATTTTCTACGGAAAAAAATCCGTAGGTAAAATGACCTTACCTACGGATTTTTGCCATTACCTACGGATTTTTGCCGTAGGTAATAGGCTTTTTTTTTGTAGTGTGAGATTCGTTTTTATATACATATGATTAGTAAGAGGATGATAACACCTAAATTTTCTTTATGTATAACATATCCGACAAAAACACATTGAATAGTCCGTAGGGCCAATTTGTTGCATTGATATTTATGAATATGAACAGATACAACAATTATAATATATTAGGTGGTAAATTAGGAATTATTGGAGTAATAGATAGATTATGTAAGGTTTCAAAATGTATCTTAAAACTCAAACTTGATGGAGTATTTATTAAAAATAAAGTAAGAGTTTCTTCCAATAACATAATAACATGAGTTCCTTAATCAAAAGCACAAATAATTTTTAACAAATATCATTTTTTTCTCTTAGCAATCCATTTTGTTGAAGTGTATTGGAATAAGTAGTTCAATTAATAATTTAATTAGTTTCTAAATATTATTGGAGTTCACAATTTTTATATTTCTCATCATTATCATCATGTAAAACTTGAATTTTGGCATCATATTAAGTTCTTACCATTTTATGAAAAATTTTAAGTGATAAACTTAATTCATTTTTTTAATTTTATTAAGTACAACTAAGTCATTCTTATATAATCATCAAAAGTAATAAACTAATAAGAATTTGAGAATCTAAGTGTGAGTTGAGGGTTTTAGATGGACCCTACATATATATATATCACCATGAAAAGGTTAAAAACTTTTATTTAAAATTAATGAAAATGAAGTTTTATAACTTACTTAACTCAGCCTTCTTAGTATATTCTCTTCAAAATCTCTCATGCTTCTTTTGAAATTAAAATATTTAGTATTTTCTCAAAGTTAGACTCATCAACAATTCGATATAACATATATAAAACTTTGGATTATTGAGTAGCTCACTATTCTTGTTGGTTTTTCAAAACCATCCTCGATAACCTCTCAATTATCTTAAGATCTAATAAAAGCATTCATTTAAAAATTCTAGTAATCATAGTTGATTATTTTCGACTATCGAATAGAAATATACTATTTATCATACTATGTCATTTTTCTAAGTTATGAGATACTTAAACACTCAAACTCTTAAACATTCAAACATTCAAGCTCTCAAATTCATAATACTAATTTGATAAGAGAATATTTTCTCTGATACTTTATTTCTCTTTATATTTCATCCAACAATGCAACTAGATATTTATAAATTAAAACTTTACCTTTTGAATAACAAGTCTTAAACTTTGTAGATGGTGTACAATCAAAATACAAATATAATTACTTAATCTTGACATTTCACCTTATTAACAAAAGAACTGCTCGATTAAAATACTGAAACTAACATTTAAGTTTATTAATTAAGTTTATTAATTGACATTTAAGTTTATTCACCAATTCTAACCATATCAAGATATGATTTCCCTTTTAGCTCACGTGAGAAGTATCCTTTGTAGTAATCAGCAACACCAATCCTTTTGAACAATGCAGGTCTTTCGTAAGTAACAAGACTTGGTGTTGGACCTATCACTTTCTTCATTTGAGGTCCATGAAATGTGGCTATGGAAATCCTTTCCTTCACTGAGTTGATCGTTGCTCGATGTTCAATGCTTCTATACACGCCATTAGTCACTATCTGCCAAAACATTTGAGATAAGTAACAAAAAGTTTAATGCTGTCAAAAAAAATTCCACCATTTAAAAAACTATTTGAATGTAGTATGCAAACAAATCATTTTGTATATGATATCTTGAATTCATTTTAAAAGAAATTTCCGCCTCGAAATTTCTCATATTTGAAAACAACACTTTGCATTCTAATATGAAGTTTCACAAAAACACTCTAGTGTGTCAACTGATAGAAGTTGAGATAGATGACTTCCAATTACCTCTAAAATATCTCCAATGTTGATGACAAAAGCATTAGAAAGGGGTTGAACAGGAATCCAGCAGCCATCTTTCCTTATTTCAAGGCCTTCAACTTGAGTGGCTTGCAGGAGGATGGTTAGAGCACCAGCATCAGAATGTGGATTAAGGCCAATCACATGTTTTGGTTGGGGACAAGGAGGATAGCAATTCATCCTCATAGCCTGACTTACATCTTCGAATAACTCTAACATTTCGTTTGGTTTGATCTTAAGAGCTTGTGTCATAAGTTTGATGATTGTCATGCAAAGCTTTTCCAGCTCAAAAGAATAGCTCTCTATAGCATCTCTGCATTGAAAAATATGTAATTAACTGTTACTGCATGATGACATAATATGTAATTAAGATTCAAACTAGTATTTAATCTAGAAAAAGAGTTACAGATAGTGAGATTTGAGAGAGGACCTGAATGGTTGGGGAATATTAGGAAATAAGTGGGGATTCCTGACGTGGGAAGGAAGAGTGAAAATGTAAAATAGATCTGCCCATTCTAGCTTTTGTTCTTCAGACACCACAAAACTCTGACCATATCCTTCCAAATCTCCGTTTTGCCAAAACTTTCTCTTCTCTTCCATTGGAACATTGAAGAACTCTCGAACACCTATCTTCACATTTTCCACCGTCGAAGGATCCACTCCATGATTTATCAGCTTTAATTTTTACCATTTCATTAAATTTATTATTTACTTCTTATAATGTATCCACTGCCATATATAGCAGCAATGAAACAATCTTTTTCTTAATCCTAGTTCCTCAACTTTTGTACAGATTGTTTTTAATTCCTTATATCAAACATCACCTTTAGTATCAACTTTACTTTGAGGTGATAGTGGTGTGATTGAATATTGTCATATCAAAATCATGTTTTGTATTTCTAAAGAATATAATTTTGAAGATGGTTATAGACTTGTTTATGAAAGTGAACTTAAAGGTAAAAAAAAAAAGACAAAAAAAATATATTTACAACCCTTTTTAATTTAACTCTTCATTCTTAAACAATTATAAAATCCCATTTTGCATTAAGTAAGAAAAAAAACTGTTCTAACTAAGTCCATCTTAATTAAAAAAAAAAATACATTTTTGTATTTTGGGACTCGTATAAAATTGTGAGAATGGGGGCATAGATTGAGTGTCATGTGGATAGTATTGGATTGCTAATAGAAATATTATTATTTTAGGTAAATTGACGGATGAACCCGTTCCATGATATATTTAGTCTGAATTGAATCAATTATTAATAAATAGGGTCTAAAAAAAAAATGAAAAAAAATAGCTTAAGTTGACCGAAACTTATAGTGGGTCAGGTTAACCCATGTGTTTTGCTCAGTCTCTGTACATAAAGGATGAGGGACTAAAATTGGAAAAAAATATTATTGAAGGACTAAAATTATATTAAAAAATTTAAGGAACTAAATTGGCAAAACAAATTGTTGAGGGATTAAAACTATTTAAAAAACTTAAGGGACTAAAACTAAACAACAAAATGTTGAGGGACTGGAAGTTAATTTTGTGAAAAGATATGGAAATAAAAAAAATAAAATTTACAATTAAATGAATAAAAAGTTTAGAAACTTAAACTAATCAAACGTTTAAGGACTAAAAATAAAACTCTCTAAAAGGTTAAGGAATTAAAAACATATTTCGTCCTTTCTTAATTTTGATTACTACTTGAATTATTTATAGTTTTATTTTTAATTTTATTTTTTACACTATAACCTCTTAATGTCTAAATATTTATAACTTTATTCAATTTTGAGTTTAATTGTCCATTGTATATTTGTTATTATTGAACCTAGAAACTCAAGATTAAAAAAATAAAAAATAAATAAATAAAACAACAACGCATTGTAACTTATTTTATAAAATTGATAATTTATAACTTTTGTTGGGGGTATATAGAAAAGCAAGGTTTATAATTATCAAGTAAAAACAAATTATAAAAAGGAGGAGAATAAAGCAAACCTGGAAGAAACCCCACTCTCTGCATGCATGATCAAACTTGTGCAACTCGTTTTCATCTTCGGATAAGAGTTTAGTTAGATCGATGACTGGTACTTGGTTTGTGTGAAACTCAACAGGAGGGTCTTGGTCTGGATGAAAGTATCGATCTGGAACTTTGGTGATGCCTTGCTTAGCTAGCTCCTGAACGGAAGGCACCGTGAGAGAGGTTCCAAGCTTTGCTATTTGAGAATCCATAACTCAGACACCACCTTCATGCATTAGAGGTCTTTCTGCTCATTATCAGTTCTTAGGGTTAATTTGTTGAGTAATGTAGAAATATTTATATTATATCCAACCGCGTAATTCAAATTCAAAGTTCTTGGTCATGCACAGTTTAATTTTAATATATTTTCTCTCTCAAGTTTATTATTATAGGTGAGTAAGACATGGGATGGGCAATATATAGATTGTTTTTTTCTACTTATCCTCGATCTTTTGTATTGAATTATTTATTTGAATATAAACTTATAACCTAAAATTTATGCCATTAGATTTTTTTTTTTGAAATAGAATATATTACTCTAAACTATATATACTAAATAAAATGTAAAAATCAAAATAAATGTAGATGAATTTCAATTTATAATAATGACTCTGGTAGGAAATAACTGTAATTCTAAGTTAAAAAATAAATGTAATTTTAAGTCTCACGTTAAGTAAGAATGAGAAAGTTGAACAACATATAAGAAAATGTAACTCATAACCTAAAATTTATCCCATGGATTAGAGTGATTTTTGTACTAGTAAAGAATTATTAGTTATGTTTCCCATGTAAATCCTTCCTTAAAAGATCTGTCAAAATAAAAAAATAGATATGATATCATGAAGAATACTTTTTAGTTAAAGTATTAATGGTTAATATAAACACATATTTTAGGGAAAAAAATTGTGATATAAAATGAATCGTCAATTTTGTTGAGAAGATTTGGTTAGTATGTATATTTATGGGTTAACTCGTTTAATAATATAATAATTATTTTTTAAATAAAATAAAAATAATATTATTTTATTAAAAATTTATATATTAATTATAAATTAACTTGATAAAAAAGCTGTCTATTCTTTAAATAAGTGAAAAAACAAGTCTTTAACACTCACTTTTATTCTAAAATTTAATTGTTAGGATGAAATACTATTTTAAATCATTAAATTATTAAAAAATTAATGATAAATAAAATTATCTTATTTTAAAGAGAACAAATTCTTTATCTTATAATTTATACATTAAATTATTATATTAGAAATAAAATTATTTTATTAATATAACTTAAATTTAAAAATACATTTTTCATTTTTATTTTTAATTAGACCAAATTTAGGTTGTTAGTCAGTTAGCCTGTATATAAATCAAATTAGGCAAACAATTATATCCATTTTAAAGGTTATTTCTTATTGCATCTCATATTTATCTAAACTAATATTGCTCCTAATATAAACATGAATTCTAGTGTGCATCTGATAATGCATTTCTGGATTATATTTTTGAAAATATATTTTTAAAAACTTATTTCAAAAAAATTTCAAAATATAAAAATGAGTTTTATATTTTTTGAAATGATTTTTATATTGTATTTCTTAAGAAATATATTCTAGATTAAAAAATTCAAAATTTATTTTCAGAAAATATAATTAAAAATGTGTTTTATATTAGTTTATCATTAACTTTTTTTAAATTTTATTTTTCATAAATATATTTCGGATTCAACAATACAAAATATTATAAATATAAATAAAATATTTTTTTACAAAATTTTTTAATACAAATTTTTTTAATGCACAACATGTTATAAATTTAAAATATAAATCAAAACTTCTAATCTTAAAATAAAAATAATGCTTAAATAAAGATAGAGGTACTAGGTGTAGTATAAAAAAGAAACTAAAACATTTTTAACATATTATATTATATTATATTATATTTATATATATATATATATATATATATATATATATTTAATAAAAAAAAAAATATATACGCTTATAGTTGAAGTCATTATTTAAAACTCCTAATATTCTCGTGCCTATCGTTAATATATTGTACACTTATACACGCAAATTAGTAATACGTAACAAAAAAACTAACCATTTTTTCTGAACTATTTTCAACCTATGAAGTTTAATTATTATTTGTTTTACAATGACAATGAACTTTAGGATGAGAGAGTACAAAATGGTTCAAGCTTAATTTTGCAGGTAAATTCAACAAAAGACCATACAAAATTATATTAAAATATTTGATTTGAGACTTTGATGAGATAAATTAATGATATCCATTTCTTTATAGTACGCCATCTCTTATGAATTGTATGCATAACATGATATATGAATGCAAAGAACGTTAGTTACCCACAATCATGTAAATTTTTTATTCAAGAAAAAAAGATTAAATAATAACTTTATGGAAAAGACAATTTTAAAGGACCAATAAATACATGGATTAAATTGAAAATAAAATATATAAGAATTAAATTGAACACCAGTGAAACTGATAAAAGTAATAGTGTGTGATTGTCACTTTGAAGTAGTCCTTATGGCAATTTTTCTTAACTGTTGCTTTAAACAATTAAATTCTTTGTGCTACATTGTTTGTATCTATGAATTAATTAGTTTGGCTAGCTGGTCCATCAATGCTTAATTAAAATTAATTATACATTGACTAATTACCCTCCCAATTAGAATAAAAAAGAAGAAGCAGTTCCCATAATTTTCATTGCATTTAAGATTTTAATTTTCTATTTTTTTATACTTCAATTATCTACATATTTAACTTATATCCTACATATTTTTATATCCCGTTCTTTTTTTTCACCATTCCGTTACTTTACTACATAGAAGCATCTAATCAAGAAAAAAACAATAAACAAAAACTTTATTTTAACGATCACGTTTGGTAAAAAATTTATCATTTACTAAACGACAAATAATAATAATAATAATTATATTCTAGTTTGGGATGTGAAATAATTGTATTTTTTTATTGATTTATAATATAGAATAAAACACATTCATTTTAACTTTTGACACAAAAAACATAAATATATATATTTTTTTTACATGATTTTTTTAAACTAATCAAATTAATAATGATGTAAATTATATTTTCAATCAAAACTAAATAAATTACGACATAAGTTACCATTTATAATTGCAATCAAATTCATTATTATTAAAATTATCTTTTCAATATCAACTACAAATTTACATCATAATTATTATTTAAAAATAAAGAGTTTGTCATTGATTCAATTTCAATTAAAATAGAAATTATTTTAATTACTACTAAAAAAAATAATATTTTTGGTCATCATTAAAATCTAAGAGTATAAATTTCAACTTGTAACTGACATATCTCATACATGTCCTTCTGCCAAACTCACAAGTTGTGGTCTTTTTCTAATTAAAAAAATTGAATCAACGAGGAGTAAATAAATTAATTGTGATTGAAACCACTATATTGAAAAGGACGCGGTTCAAGCACTAAAATCGATATATTATTTTAAATTAGATTTTAATTAAATTAAAATAAAAAAATAAAATAAAATCAATAAAATAAAATAAAAAATACTACCATAAAAATAGTATGATTAAAATTTTTTTAATATAATTTTTTTATAAAAATATAATATATATTTTTTATATATTAATTATATCAATTTTAAATAATATTTATTTTATTATATTTTTATCTTATATTAAAAATTATTTATTTTTCACTTTTAAATATATCTTATATTTATAATCATACCATTAATTTATATATATATATATATATATATATAATATTATTAAACTTATTATATTATAAAAAATTTATTTTATTAAATTTAATTTACCTTTAAATCTTTGATTTAAAAAATATTAATTTATATATATATATATATATATATATAATATTATTAATAATATTATTAAACTTATTATATTATAAAAAATTATTTTATTAAATTTAATTTACCTTTAAATCTTCGATTTAAAAAATATTAATTAAAATATATAGTATTAATTTAATTTAACTACAAAGAAAAAATTTATAATTAAATTAAATTAAGTGAGGGTATTTTTGTAAAAATAAGTTAACAAAACCAGTAAGGTGCTTTCAAAGAGATGTTCCCATAATAACAGACCACATTGAAATTGGGTCATACCACCCAAAAATATTTGGGCCAATTGAAGTAGGCAAGATCTAATTGATTTGACAGCCTAACTGATAAAATTTTATTTGCCCTCGATATTTTTCTAATATAGTATCGGATTATTTTTTTTATTATTTGAGGTTCAATTCATATTTAAATTTTATTTATTTATATCTATGTAAACATTATTTAATTAAAGACAACTAGTTTGCATACTCTCTTTTTTTATTACAAAAAGAACAAATAAAAAGTGAATCTCTGCTATACACCAAGCAACTGAATGATGAATAAACACGTAAGATGAGACATGATATAAATTGATACCATGTAAAAGGTATCAATGTTATTGTTAGATTACCTAGTCCTTTAATAATATAATTATTTGGTGCATCAAAAGCCATGCGAAGTCCTATGTATTATTTATTCTAACAGCGTCAACGTAGGATTTCCCTTGTAGCTTGCGTGAAAAGAATCCTCTGTAGTAATCTGCTACACTAATCTTTTTGAACATTGCAGGTCTTTCAGGAGTAACAAGGCTTGGTGTTGGACCTACAACTCTGTTCATCAGAGGCTTGTGAAATGTGGCAATAGAAATCCTCTCCTTCTCTGAATTGATTGTTGCTCGATGTTCAATGCTTCGGTAAATGCCATTAGTCAGAATCTGTCCAAGAATTTGAAGCATGTACCAAAACATAAGAATGTAGTTCAGTGAGTGAAGTATTTGGTTGATGAATTTTTTGGTCAATTACCTCCAAAATATCTCCAACATTGATGACAAAAGCATTGGAGAGAGGTTTTATGGGAATCCACATTCCATCTTTCCTTATTTGGAGGCCTTCCATTTCATTGACTTGGAGGAGGATGGTGAGAGCAGCAACATCAGAATGAGGATTGATGCCAATCACTTGTTCTGGTTGGGGACATGGAGGGTAGTAATTCATCCTCATTGTCTGCCTCAAATCTTCAAACAACTCTACCAATTCTTCACCTTTGATCTTAAGAGCTTTTGTCATAAGTTTAATGATAGTCATGCCAAGTTTTTCCAATTCTAGAGAATACCTCTCTAAATCATTTCTAGAATGATGATACAAATACTAATCACTATTACTTTAAACTTTAAAATTGATATGTAAAAAATAAAGGTGTAAAATACAACCATTAAAAAATAAAGAATAGTAAAAAAAGATTTTGGTAAAGAACCTGAATGGTTGGGGTACGGAAGGAAATATGTGACTACTCCTCGTGCTTGATGGAAGCATATTAATGAAGAATAGATCAGCCCATTCTAGCTTTTGTTCCTCTGAACAAACAAAATGTTGACCATACCCCTCTAACTCTCCTTCTTTTTGCCTGAGTTTCTCCTTCTCTTTCTCTGGGAGACTGAAGAGCTTTTCAACACCTATCTTCACATTTTCCACCACTGAAGGATTGATTCCATGATTTATAAGCTGTAATGTAGTCCCGTGTTAAAAATCTTACAAACCATCAAAAATAATTTTGTTTCATCATTAAATATATCCACAACAATTTCAATTACTTTTGCATTATTTAATGAGATTGTTATGAAAAATAATCTTCATTCAAAATGACTTTCTTCTTCCTGGTATTTCATGTCAAGGAAGAATAGTTTAGAAGAAAAGTTTACTTTTTTAAATGAATGCATATTCTGACAGATTAGTCTTTACTCTCATGTGTATCTTTTCATTGATCAACAACAAATATATATATATATATATATATATATATATATATATATATATATATATATAAATGTTTGGTTTATCATTTGTCAACGTCAATCATGTTGCCAATTTCAGACGCAACTTTTCTGTCGTTAGTACTATTGTGTTTTCATTTTCATCTCAGCCCAACTTGCTCCAAAACTATTATTGTAGAAAATGCTCGTACATTTCAATTATAAATCATGTACTGTTTTTAAACTCGATTATAACTTAACTTGATTTCGTAGTATATTTAATTACTTTTACAGAAATTATTGTTATAAACTTTGGATTGCAAACTTATAATAAGATTAACTCAACCTTATCTACAAACTAGTCAAAATACGCATATAATCAAACAATTTAATATATAAAGTAAGAGAAGAATAGGTTATACGGGTAAAGTTTATCATTAATTTTTATTATTTTTAATAAATTTATTAATCTTTTTCATTTAATATTCTTATTACTTTAATATTTTTTCATTTGAATTTATTTTTGATGATTTATTATATTCTCTATAATAAATATAATTAATAAAAACAATAATTAATACAATCTTAAACTTTATGCATCCCACATATTTTTAAACAACATTTTCTCAACAAAATCATATATCTTGAAACATAATATACTATAAAGAAAACATAAAAAGCACACACACAAATAGTTTATGTGGAGTTATATTATTATTTTGAAACAAATATTAATTAAAAATTAGAAGAAAAAAAAGTTATTTCATAAAATTGCAGAGAATATCTTAAATGCAGGAACTTTAACAATGTCAATATAGATGTCAAAAGCAGACATACCAAGAATAGTATTTTTGTTTAATAAAATCCATGCAACAGCAACATAAAAAAGATAGCTATGAAAAATACACATAAAAATTAAGGAAAAACTATCAAAATGATTTTGTCATATATTTTGTATGAATTTCGTAAGATTTTAAAAAATTGACATGAAAATTGAAAGAAAGATGAAAAGTTTTAGAAATGCAATGTTAAATATTAGTTATGAATCACTATTTCTTGAGTTCTGGCAAGTGGTGTGAACTCTTCAATGTTTAACTTTTGAAAATTAAAGCAACAAACAAAAGAAGAAAAAAGTCGAAACCTGAAAAAAACCCCATTCTTTGCATGCTTGGTTTAGCTTCTCTAGCTCAGGTGATTCATCTTGAGACAACAATTGATTGAGATCAATGACTGGGACTTGAGGCAGAGAGATTGTGTCAGAAATAATAGGATCTTGGTTTGGATGAAGGTATCGTTCAGGAACTTTAGTGATGAGTTGCTTAGCTAGCTCATGAACAGAAGGAACCGACAGAGAGGTTTCAAGCTTGACTATTTGGGAATCCATGAGTGTGATAATGTAGGGTTGATGTTTCTTTCTGTGATGAATCCTCTTCATTGGGGTTACTTGTTTGAGTTGTATTGAAATAAATAATTGAAAACAATGTTTGTACCAAGGATCAAATCTTACTGTTCAATGAAATGTGTCTCAAATGGAATTTTTCCTAAATTTGAAGGATATTTCCTGTCGCATATACAGTAAAAAATTAATAATACTCGCTTGGTAAAAATATCATATATATTAAATTTATTGATATATGGATTTAAATATATTTTTTGTATTTATATACTTACCTTGCTTAATTTTGGTCAGAAAAATTATATGAGTATTATTCATCGCTTAGAATTTAAAGACAAAAAATTATGTGTTAATAACATACAAGAGACAAAATATTTAACCATCCCATAAATAAAAAATAACTTTTCTTTATAAATACTAAAATTAAATTTTGTTAATTTACATAAATATTAATGCTTTTTTATAATAATTTCTTTAAAATATTTTTTATTAATTGATATAAAATCTTTTTGTTGATATTATCTTTCTATTAAATTTTAATAGACAAAATAAAAAATCACTAAATAATTTAATATTTATTATTTAACAATAGTATGTCCACTGATCTTTGATATAATGAATAATTTATTTTATAATATTATATTTATTTATTTTGTTTTAAAATGATTTTCCTATGATGAGGTTTGTAGTTTTTTTTCAAACTGAATTGAATATGAAATTGGGTACTCTGTGCAAGTTTTAAATACAGAGGAAAAAAAGTCAATGAATCATTTAAGTAGTTGAAAGCTGAGATTCAAGGTTTGTCAGAGCAAATAGTGGTGAGTGAAAAAAACAAAAATTGATCTCATTCAATTTAAACATATAATCATTTCTTTTAACTTTTTAATGTAACTTATTAGGTTTTGCTACTTTCAATTTTCTTATGAATTGTACAATTTTTTTTTACCAATACTCTACTTTCTTGAATATGTGTCACCCACACAAAACAATTCTTTTATAAAATTATTACTAATAGAATATTGGCAAAAAAATTAGAAAGCATAAGAAAATTGAAAATAAGAACACCTAATAAGCTAGATTAAAGGTTAAAAAAACGATTACATGTAGAATTAAGAAGAAAAAAATAAATTTAATTTTAAATACAAAATTTAGTCTAATAAAAAAATAATACACATTATTTAAATTTTATATAATATTAAGTGCAATAATACAATATTATACATAAAATATTAAATTGAAATAATATTATTAAGTGTAACTATAGAATCTAATATGCATAAAAGGTAATAGTGTTAATTTAATACTAACATTGTGTTAAAACTTTAAATAAATGTTTTTAAAAATTATTATTAACTCAATTACTTTCCGTTATTTATATAATACCACTGATTGTTAAAGAAAATATATAATTATCATAAAATTACTTGTATATTATAATATAAAAATTATTTTAAATTAAATAAATATAATATTATAAAATAAATTATTCATTATATTAAAGAAACTAAAACACAATAAAATTATTATAAAACTCTTATTATTTCATAATTATTTTCTATTTTAATTTTTTGTTGTCGAAGAATGTCAAAGTAAATATAGTATTGTCTAAAAAAACTATAGAATGAAAAAAAAAAAAAAACTGAAAGTACGATGACCTATTAAGTTAGATTAAAAAGTTAAAAAGGCTACTACGTACATATCTAAATTTGGATAAACTTTTGTTCAACAATTTTTTCTCTCACCAGTATTTGCTCTCATGAACCTTGAATCTTAAATTGCAACTGCTTAATTGGTTCATCCACTATTTTGTTTTGAGTGGAAAACTTGGACGGAGTACCCAATTTCATCTCCAATTCAATAAGATGATATTAGAAAATAAAAACAAAAAAATCAGGGTCTCATCAACAAAAATAAGTTAATTCTACTACACAAACAAATAAAAAGTTACCTAATCTTAATGCACGTAAAAATTTTAAATCCTTAATTTTTTTATTTTAAAAAGAAAGAAAAAAATATTTATAAAATCCTATAAGGATTGTTCATTTATGTGATGTATGTTTTTATTTTATTTTTATATATTATAATAATATTATTGTGTAAAAATTTCGTAGTAAAGTTTATTTTGTACGCTAATTTTTTATATATGTACGAAAGAGATGAATGGTTACAACAATAAATTCTTCCTCCCATATCACGCATTCTTCGTCCTTATTTTTCTTTCGTCCAAATTTTAAACAAGCGATACTCTACTCGTGCAGGATCAAGTGAAACGGGAGAGCGTTTGGATTAAGTGGGAAAACTTCAATAGAAATACAACACAAGGTAAGGGGAAGTTTAATTCATTCAATATATGTGACTGAATTGATAGGTACTCTGAGAATAAGGAATAAGAGTAGAAATTTGAAGTATTGAATGACTAATTTTAAATATTTTTTCATGTATGAAAAGTTTAATTTTTTTTTGAAATTCTTGAAATTAAGGATGATTTATATAGTAAAATTGTTGTTTTTGACTTAAATTGAACATAGTTTATGTTTAATTTGATTTTGAAACCAATTTGGTTGTCTGATACTGAGAAATTGGAAATCTGCAAAATTTGATACAATGACTGGATGCGAGGTTGAAGAAAGGGATAATGGGATTTTTGAAAAAGATCAAGGGTAAAATAGTCATTTTACATCCTAGGGACATAAATGGAATTTTTGAAAATATTCAAGGGTAAAATAGTCATTTTAGGGACATGGAAGAAATTTTCGAAAATGTCCAAGGGCAAAATAATTATTTTAAGGACATGGAAGGAATTTTCGAAAATGTCCAAGGGTAAAATAGTCATTTTCAGGATATGGAAAGAATAATCGAAAATGTTCAAAGATAAAATAGTCAATTTCGGGACATAGAAGCAATAATAGAAAATGTCCAAGGGTAAAATAGTTATTTAGGGATATACATGTTAAGTGGTAAAAAGTTGATATAATTATGTCTTGAATTGTTATGAAACCATTTAACTTATGTTAATTTTAATATATTTTTCTCCTAATATAAGATGAATTCGAGAATACCTTGATACAAGAGTAAGGAGCATAATTGTCAGCATAATTAGAGAAAAATTGAAAGAAAGAAGAACCATTAAGCGAATGAATGATGCAAGGCCCGACCCAAATTCTCTTATAAAAAGATAAGATGTGTTTTGAGAAAGCAAGCAGTCTTAGAGAGGAGGAGACACGACTACTGTTAGGGTTTTGTCCAATCTTCATCAATTCTTCACTTTTTCATCAATTGAAGCATTGTAATGGCTAACATGAGTGACTAACTTCATTCTCTTAGGATTCGGTGTACTTCCTTTGAACTCTTTTGTATCATGGTGATATTTTGAGATCTTAATCTATGTTTTGATATTGTTATTCTTATCCTTTATGCTTTGGAATGATTTATTCTTGATTGTTTGAGGTATGATTGTAAAATATATCTTGAACCCTAGATCATGGTAAGAATATTTGTTACGTTAATTGTCAGGAATGGAATGAATGTATCAATTGCTTAACACCCTAACGCTAATGCTGGAAAATCTGTTAATTGTGTGAGGAATCAACATTTATTAGGTTTTCTTATGAATTTCATGTGTGAGGAATCAACATGGATGATTTGAGTAGGTGGCATCAACATTGTTAGGTTAATTGACATTCTTAATTGACATAGCCATTACAAAAGAGGGATAAGAAAGGAAGTCAATCTTAAGTACCTTTAATTGATATTTTCTCAACAATTTACAGTTCTTTGTCATTTAATTTCAATTCAACACTTATTTGCAAAACCCAATATGTTTAATATACTTAATAAGCATAATTGAGAATTTCCATTGAAACTGTTCCTCGTGGGATCGACTTTTATTTAATCGAAATACTATACTTGCGATTGAAAATTTTAGTACGCTTGCCAATAATTCAACAAGTATTTCTGGTGTCGTTGTCGGGAACGGTGTTCTTTGATAATTCTTTGTTTAGCTTATTGAGTATTTTATTTTTATTTCTGTTTTTATTATTATCATTATCATTATTATTATTATTATTATTATTATTATTATTATTATTATTATTATTATTATCATTATCATTATTATTATTATTATCATTATTATTATTCTTATCATTATTATTATTATTATTATCATTATCATTATCATTATTATCATTATTATCATTATCATTATTATTATCATTATTATTATTATTATCATTATTATTATTATTATTATTATTATTATTATTATTATCATTATTATCATTATTATTATCATTATTATCATTATTATTATCATTATTATTATTATTATTATCATTATTATTATTATTTAGTTTTTAGTTTGTGCTAATATTTGCTTGAGTTACTCTTTTGATTTATGCGTTTAAGAGGACAGGTATCTTCAGAGCAGTTAGAATTTAATCCAGAGATTGAAAAAAACAGCTCGGAGGAACCGGGGTAGAAGAAGAAGGGAAACTCAAGAACAAGCCAGAGGAGAATCTGCTAATTCTTCTTTCACACTTGATTTACCAGACCCAATTATAAAATATATGGCGGAAGAAGGAGCAAATCTAAATCCAAATTCAAATCCAAATCAAAATCCAAATTCAAATCTACCTAGAAGAACTCTTAGAAATTGTGCTATGCAGCAAGGTCCAAGATATTTTTCCAGCATTGTCATTCTGGATGATCATACATTGCAGATGAATCCATCTTTCTTAAGCTTGATTAGTGCTCATCAATTCACTGGATTGGATCATGAAGACCCTTATATTCATTTGTCTACTTTTTATGAGTTGATTGGTACCATGAGATTTAGAGCAGCAAATATTGAATATGCATATTTGATATTATTTCCTTTTTCTTTGGCAGGTAGGGCAAAAGAGTGGCTAAAAGCACATCCTAATCAGAGTTTGACTAATTGGAGTAGTGTAGAAGAAAAGTTTATGAATAGATTTTTCCCATCATCCCGCTACATCAAAGCAAAATCTGACATCACTTCTTTCAGACAAGGAGCAGAT